CCCCAGCCCCGGGAAGCGGACCTCCTGCCCCTGCCGGGCCTCTTTAGGCACATCTCGATGGTGCGGGCGGGTGGTTGGAGCCGCGCCGCCATGTTGGAGCCGTTCCCGCCTTTGGGGCGGCCGTCGTCTGCCTCGGCCGGGCCTGAGGAGTGGGAGCGGCACCGGAGGGCACCGCCGGCGGCTGTCGTTCTCCCTGAAGTAAATTCCCCCTCGTTATCGACCCGCAGGGGAAGGGGACGGTGTTTCACCCCAAAACGTCCATGTTCCTGAGGGCGAGTCACGGCCTCTCTCCAGAGCGATGCAGTCTGTGTTCCAGGAGCACCTGTCTCTGGCAGTTTTTGAGTAAAATTTTCATTATCTGGAAAAGAGAAGCAAAGAGGAGCGCTGAGGTGATCGCTGACGGTACCGCCGATGACAGCTGATGAGCAGTGCGCGTATTTTGGCCTGTAAATCACTGGCAAAGGGAAAACCAAACACAGTAGCTTTTCAGTGACCATTATTAAATGCTGGAAAGGGAATTTTAGGTGGACAGCCAGCACCCAGTGCCTGATAGATACGCATGGAGAAGAAAAAGAAAGTCACAAGTACCTGAATTGCTTAAAGGATATCCAGTTGATTTCCCTCAGCAGTGATGAACTTGGGATCGGGAGCCCGATGCTGCTACCGTTTGTACCTGGTGAGCCGCCATCAGGGAGCTGGGGGTGGTCTTGGGACAGCGCATTGCAGCGACGGGAAGGCTGCCGTCCCCTCGCGAGCGCTGGCCCCGCTTCTTCCCCTGGATTTACACCATTTCTGCAGCAAGTTTCTCTTACGACACATGCTACTGCAGCAAGAAACGGGGATTACGCCAGTAATCTGGGTACGTAAAGGGTAACAATCTGCACCAGTGAAGTATGTCTCTGTCATCTCTTCTTCCTGACTTCTCAGGCTGGCAAATGCTCCTGCCATGGCGGCATACTCACCACAAGCCCGTGCAGTTGTTACCTTGTCACAGTTTTCAATCTTCCCTTTCATCAGTTTGAATTTACTTTTAAGCAGTCATTTACCTACCTGTGTGCAACCCCAGGTTCTCACAAACATGAACCGATTATTAACAGAATTAGGTCTCCATCTTTCCCTTCTCTGGACTTTCCTAGTTACGGTCTTGGATAGCAAAAAGCCAAAGCAGCACATTCCAGAAAAAGAAAACGTGAAGAAACCACGGGGAACAAGAACATAACGTGGCTCTTTTCGGCTGAGCTTTCTAAAAGGCTTCAGAAAGCTCCTCAGCCACGCCTACCCATTTTGGATTCTAATTGTGCAAATAATTCTTATTTATACAAATAACCACCTTGACCAAAGCAACTTCCACAATGAAGTGATACTCAAACACCGCTGGAATAGCTCGGAAAAACTGACAGAGGCAACAGGAGATGAGGAAAAGGAAGTTTCTCAACCATCTTCAAGTTTGCCACGCCAAGAGAAGTGCTCATCTGGAAAGAAAAATCTGTGATTCACCCGTGAATGCAGACCAGACTGCAGCAGCTGGCGGGAAGAGATGCAAATATATGGAAACACCGTTCACCGCACTTGGCAGTTCTACATCAATATTCCTGCTCACGTCCATCCCCTGCTGCCTAACATGGCTGTCCGTATCTGCCCTGGAGACCCCTCACCACCTCTGTAGTTAACTGGAAGTCACACAACAACTCCTTTCGATTGTTTTGAATTAAAATTTCTGAATGATTGAAGCTGAATTAAGCCACTGCAGTGGAGCAATACAGAGTTCGTTTCTCCTCCTGCGCACAAGTGTGAGTCTTTCTTGTGTCACGTA